CCCCCCCCCCCCCCCCCCAAAAAAAAACTGTATATAGTCGATAAATATATATATGAATGTCATTGTTGTGTCAGTAACCACATTCTTGTAGAATGAATGCTGTTGAAAAAGCAAAATTAATGCTTAATGAAAATGAATCTTGCAATAGAATCCAACAACTGTTCAGTTATAGGGATGTGAGTGAGAGAGTAAACAGAAACAAATAAAGTGAAAGATAAATCGCACGGGGGGAGTCAGAGAATCAGCTGCTCAGGGAGAGACAATAAAAGAGCTGACACACAAAGAAAAGAGAGGGAAAGATTCATTCACGCGGTGAAGCTCTCAACTGTTGTCTGTGTGGGGTCCTACACGTGACCTGCCACGTGAAGCATTGCTACTCTTTTATGGGACCCTCGCACGAGCGGGCCTCTTTCTTCACACGCGTACGGTACTTGGTTCTTTCACAGAATGGTAGAGAGGTTGATGGACCAGTCTACCCTTTAGGCTTGGGCCATGTGTCTCCTCCAAAGACGAGTCACACAGTGTGAATGTTTTTGTAAGCCCACCTCTATAACTGTATTTTCTCGACCGGTCATTTTATTATCATTCAACAATCTCTCCCACGTATCATCTATAATCAAGAAGATCCTGACAAAGCCTTATGTTATATCACTTTCGTATTTATTTTTTATCCACTCATTTTGAAATAATCTATTTGTAGGAATGAATGTATATCTATACAATACATAATACTTAAATTTTACTATGTGATGAAAAGGTTTGAGTACAATTAGAAGAAGTTAGCTTAACACTGATCAAGCTGTTAATATTTCTTCTTCTTTGTCTCAGTTAACACCTTTTTGTATACATTATGATCATCATGCTTTAAAGTTTTCGGTCAATAGTAGTAGACATACAAAATGGAAGGAGATGATATTAACTTCATTCAATAAACGCAAGGATCGTCTTTATTTATTTATTTTAACTCTGCATAGTGTTACAGAGAAATGATCGCTCAAGAAGTTGTAACCAAGCTGTTCTCAGACTCGCAACTCTAAAGACAACATCTCAAGATTTACACATTCTGCTACACTCATTTAGAACTAGGACGTTCTAAGTCTACAAGCTGGTAGAGATCTCCCATCGGCTGTTTATTCAACGGAAGACTTGACCTGAGATATGGTTATTAACAAGATTCAGTTGTGGCTGATTATGCGATCAACAACGAGATGAGGAAAAAAAAATAAACAATATTATGGTACTCTCGTGATTACCTTCGTTTCTCAAGTATAGAGTAATCAATCTCTGCTAAGATAATCGCTTCTTCATGCTCAGTCCTCGCTAAGACTTCTCCAAACTGTCAAATGTTTACTGAGTTTAGTGCTCAGCTTCATTATCAATCAAGTAACATGTAAAAGTTTACTACTTACAGGGCAGACGAGTGTAGAGTGTCCCCAAGCGGTATAGCCAGCTCCTGAAGCTCTGGCAAGTGAGCAGGTCGCTACGTATAACTGAATAAAGTTTACAATATTATCATCATCATCTAATAGATAAAATCATTAACGATCAAAATCTAGAGACTAATATTAAGCATAGTTAAGATGTTTAATAGAAAGTTACTAAACTTTTACCAAAAAAAAAAATTCATAGTGCTAAAGTAGAGGGTGAGTGGTTGGATTTCCTATCTACAACCATATAAAAGTTAAAATAAAATAAAAACAAAAAAGTGATTGTTGAAAACTTATTTCTAAGGCAAAAAAAGTATTAATATAGAATTGTTGTAGGAATATATGTTTTCCTGTTTTTTTTCATTTAATTTCTAGATTACATCAAAAGAATTTACAGACTAAATTCTACAATGAAATTTATACAGTAACCGTTCAACCAATCGCCTCTTATATCAAAGATTTTTCCATGGAAGTTGTATTATACCCAACCATAGTTCTTATAATCATCATTAACCAATCCATTTTCCACCAAATTGAACCAAACGCGAAAAAATTAAGCTGTTACCATCTGGAAAAACTAACGGGCCTTAGAAATCCTGATTCCTGATTAAAAAACCCATATAAATTCAAAGTCATTATAAATAGAGATGGCCCACATTTTATCCAAAATGAATTATGATGACTTGTCACAGAGCCAGAACAATCAAGATTCTTCCGGAACAACTTCAAACTGAAAAATATCAGACCGAAGAATGTTCGGCCAGTCTACATCTCTCTAGAAAAATCCATCTCCACTCCTATTTAAAATCCCCCAAGTCCCACACAATTCTCCATCAACCAAAGCAAACAAAAACTGAAAGAAGCAGAAACAAGAAAACAAGAAAGCACAACGTTACAAGTGATCCAAATGGATTTCGGAAGGTTTCCGATAATCTCAATCCTCGAAGACATGCTCGAAGTCCCCGAGGAACACAACGAGAAGAACCGCAACAACAATCCATCGAGAGCATACATGCGCGACGCAAAGGCGATGGCGGCTACACCAGCTGACGTGATGGAACATCCGAACGCGTACGTTTTCGTGGTGGACATGCCTGGAATCAAGGGAGAAGAGATTAAGGTTCAGGTGGAGAACGAGAATGTGCTTGTGGTGAGTGGAGAGCGGCAGAGAGAGAACAAGGAGAACGAAGGTGTGAAGTATGTGAGGATGGAGAGGAGGATGGGTAAGTTTATGAGGAAGTTTCAGTTGCCTGAGAATGCAGATTTGGAGAAGATCTCTGCTGTTTGTCATGATGGTGTTTTGAGAGTGACTGTTCAGAAGCTTCCTCCTCCTGAGCCAAAGAAACCGAAGACTATTCAGGTCCAAGTTGCTTGAGTTTGTGGAATGTAATTGGATGTGAGAGAGTGAGTGATGTGTGTTCAGGATGAAATAAGAGTATTTGCTCTGTTCTGTGTTATTCTTCTCGTTGTATTTTCTAATTAATGAAAGTTGGTTTTAAGTATTTTCCATATTGAGGTAGGCGCCAATGGTAATTGACAGCAGTTCGTATAAACGGAAGTTCAGCAGTATCTGAATCTAAACCTCTGCTTAGAGTATACGATTATTTTATTGCTTCAAGTAATATAATGAGAAATGAAGACTAGCTACCCACCGAATACGCAAGACGAATGATCATTATTCGATCTTTAAAGAGATCAATTTTTCTAAATGACCTCTCACAAAGATAGAATGACTTCTTCTTTTGTTGTTTGGTACTCACTTTCCACCTAAAGTGATTAACTGAGCTGATATAAAACTCTGAACCGGACTAACCCAATTTTGTATATCCCCAGATTGAATCACAGTATATTTGTGAAGGTGAAATGTACAATTGTTTCCGGATCTTGCTAAGTCGGCCGAGAAGGAGGCGACAGGACAAAAGCTTTTTAGTTTTAACATATGATTTCATATTTGAATAGTAAAGAACAAAAACTCCAACTATTGTAACATCATAAGAATAAAAATTGAAAATTAACGTGAGTTATTTCTTTTCTTGTTTTTAGTTCAGCGAAAAATATCACACAACGATTGTTATTGATTTCAGATTAAACAAAAATAATAACACGAATCAAGGCGATGATGAGACATGCCACTATGTAAGTTAATAGATATGTGAACTATCTTATTATATAAAACTAGGTGTTTTGCCTGCACATGTGAGCATAATTTTTGTACAATTTATTATTAGTCTATATTTTATTAATTCAAACCAATATAATAAGTTATGATTTATGTTTTAAAATTATTTATAAATGAAAACACTCACATAACAAAATATTTTTACAAATGTGTTGCTTTAATTTATTTTAATTATATTTTTTTCTATCTTAATTTTTTATTTCTATAATAAAAAATATATTTTCAAGATAACAATACAATACATAAGAAGTATCTTATTTTCTGAAAATAGAATTTTTAATAAAAATTCGTTTTTATTTTATAATAAATTTTATATGAAATTATTAAAAATATGACAAATAATCTAAATTATCTAAATCATGGAGAAATTACAAATTAGATAATTCACTTAAATTTTCTAATAGAAAATATATGTTTAAGATAACAATCTAATATTTAAGAATTATCTTTTTTTTTAAAAAAAAAAAATCTAGTATTATTATATACATTCGTTTTACTATTGAATAAATTATATATGAAATTATTAAAATATGATAAATAAGCAAAGTATAAAACCATGGAGAAGTTGATAAATCAGCATTGTTTTCTTTATTTAGCTATTAATATTGTAACTTAATTTTTAATTTATATGATAAAAAATATATTTTAAAGATAGCAATATAATACATAAGAATTATCTTATTTTGTAAAAGTATAATATTATTAATAGAAATTCGTTTTTATTAAATAATAAATTGTATATGAAATTATTTAAATAAGATAAATAAACAAATTTAGCTAAAATCAAGGAGAACATGACAACTAAGCAAAATTACTTCTTAAATAATAGTATAGATATACCGAAGAGAGAGAGAGTTGGGCGCATTTGGGATGTGTCTCCCTTGTTCCTGCGTTTGCCGCATTCATGCCCCGTGTTCCCATGAGAGGGGAGGTGATTGAGGTTAAGAATCTTGAGGAGGTTGTTAAGTTGTCCAAGGAGCAACTGATTGGAGCTAAGCTTGTTGTGTTCAGTCCTGAGATTGATAATGTTGGAAATGTACAGTACCTCTCTCTCTCTTTATATCTTTCTATGATTAGTTGATGAACAGAATTTTGATGTATTCTTGTTTCTTGTTGTGTGGCGTCAGGGAGAAGTTCGAAGGAGATGATGTTATGAATGTGCAGATCTGCTACAAGAAGGTTACTTCAATCATCAAAGTGTCTTTGACTCGCATGGTTACCACACTTGCGGATGATGGCAACTTAACCAAAGTTTCTATTCGTCTTTCCTTTCTCCTACTTCTTTTGTTTGGTTTCTCAGCTATTAATCATCCAAGTCAGAATTTTAAATTTACATATTTTACAATTTTATTATTTTTTAATACCTAAGGATTCCATAATAGAAACACCATTAGAGATACATTTCTCATTAGGATCCTTAATTATTCCCCAAGAAATAAAAGATATTAATCTAATTCTAACGATTCCAATGGTGGATAACACAGAGATGCTCTTACTCTTTTTTGGCATTTCTAGTCTATTCAAATATAGTTCCTTCTTTGCCATAAATAATAAGCATCACCAGGATAAATTTTTAATATTTATGATGTGCACTTTATTGGTTCACCCAAACAATAAATTCCATTTTTATTTATAGATATATTTTTCTATCTTTATTTCATTATTATATACCTTCTAATTTCATCACTTATATTCGAGAGAGTGCAAAAACAATGTATATAAATTAGCATTTGCAGAAATAACGTTAAAATAACGGCATTGTCTGGATTAACACTAATAGCAAATAATGAGCAAAATATAAGCAAAATATAAGCAAATGATAAGGAGAAATATATCATTTTAATGTAATATAACAGAAAACACTAATGATTTTGTAGATATATTATTCTCCATAAGAAACAATATCGGTTTGGTTATTTCATGAGAGAAAATTTGAAGGTTATGAAAGTTGGTTCTTATATGTCATATGTAGCTGATTTTCAACCACCGAAAAACAACCAGGACCTTGGCACAACGTTCCTTTGTATTGACATCCAGGTATGTGATAACATTATTACTCAAATAAATTAAGAAAAAAACCTTTATAAATGATTATAATATATATTTTGTAAATAGGGGGACACATATAAATGAAGGCTTGCTAAGTCACTTCCGAAAAACAACCCAAATCTTGGAAGAATACCGAATATATCAACTTCAATATTTTACACTTCTAGAAAACAGTCAATGCTACAAGCTCACAATTCAAACACATCAACAACTATTCTACCCATAAAAGATAATATAACCTCAACAATTTTTAAAAATAACACAAATATTGTTTAATAATTAAGAATGTCAAATTCTTGACAAAAATTGGAATGTCAAATAACTTTTACTTAGTCATGTCTTTTATCTGGTTATTTAGTTTAGTAGTTTCTTTTTTATGTAAGTGATAAATTTTAAAAATATATTTAAAAATGAAAAAAAATTTCATGATTTTGATAGATTAATTACAAAATGAGCAATATTTCTAAAATATAGAATTATTATATTTATTTTAATATTATCTAGCATTATTATTTTATATTACTGCAGAAAAACTAATACTCCCCACAACATCAAGAACTCGCTTCTACTTTGACACTTCTATTTATTTCATATAAATCTTTACCCAGGGAAATAAAGTGAATAATTAGTCATGAAGTGGTCACGTTGTCTTCGATCTAATTCATTAAAAATATGTTTTCCTAGAGTCCTCTTCTATAAACAACATTGCACTTTCTTAATATTTTATGGATTCATCCTTCGATTTTCACTTCCAACACTTACGTTCATAATGCCATTTTATTTTGAAATTAATTTTAGTGCAAACAATGATCTAGTGACTATAAAAGCTCATTGTGAATTTTGAATAACAATCGATACATAACTAAAAAGGATCTTAGAAATATGACGATAAAAGACGATGATGATGCGCTCCCTTGTGATAATAACTTTTTAACTATATAATAATTATATAAGATTATAGAAATTATGACATAATTAAAATTATCTAAAATCCTTGAGAACTTAATTAATCACCAAATTCACTTCTTAAATAATTTTTCTTGAGTGATGATTTATAGTTAATTAATAATAGATAATTTTTCTATTTTACTTTTAAATTATAAAATATAAAAATATATATTCAGGATAACAACATAATACATAAGAATTACCATATTCTCTAAAAGTATAATATTATTAGTGTAAATTTATTTCAGTTATAGAATAACTACAACTTTTTATATCTTAATTTTAAACTTCTAATAGAAAAATATATTTTCAAGACAGCAACTTAATACATAAGAAGTATTTTATTTTCTAAGAATCTGATACTATTAATATAAATATGTGTTAAATATATAATAAATTATGTAAATTGATAAATTATCTAAATTAACTAAAATCATGGAAAATATAACAAATCAACAAACATCAAATTCACTTCTTAAATAATATTATAGATTTTTTACATGTTAATTTTAAATTTTATAAGATAAAATATTTTTTCAAGATAACAGCATAATACATAAGAATTAACTTATTTTCTAAAATATCTTATTACTAATATAAATTAGTTTTAATTATATAATCAATAATAAAAAAATTATAGAAATTCTGATAAATGATCAAAATTACCTAGGATCATGGAGACAAATCAACCAATTCACTTTTCAAATAATTGTTTTGATGATTTATATTTAATTATAAATAATATAATTTTTATATCTTAATCTTAAGTTTTATAATAGAAAATATATTTTCAACATAACAACATAATCCATAATAATTATCTTATTTTTAAAAATATTAAATTATTAATATAAATTCGTTGTAATTATATTTAACTATTAAATTATTAATATAAATTCGTTTTAGATAAATATAATAGTGTTTATATCTTAATTTAAAATTTAAGTTTTATATACAAAAATATATTTCAAGATAACAACATAATTCACAAGAATTATATTATTTACTAAAAATATGATATATTCATATAAATTCATTTCATTTATAAATAAAATATATATAAATATTAAAAATATGATAAATAAACAAAATTACCTAAACTTATGGAGAAATTGACAACTAAGCAAATTTACTTCTTAAATAATAGTATAGATAGACTTTTCTCTTATATGAAAGTGCCATGTCACTAATATTTTTTTTCTCAACATGATATATGTTATGATTCTTGGTTAATCTTTTGACTTTTGGTTTGTTTGTTGGTTCATCTTTAATTAAGGATTTTATGGCATCATTCAATGAATCCCACTTTTCTACCTATTTAAAAGTATTTGAGAAATCTCTACATCTAGTGTTTATTTTGTCCACCGAGGTAATAAAGTGAATCGCAACTGAAGATTAGATAAAGAAGTCGAATTGTGGCCTTGATCGCCGCCAACTCGGTTGTACACATAAAAATTCGAAACGATTCATAGGATTCCTGACAACAGGAGAACCACCACGAGTGGTCGATATAACTCATCGACTGAATATAAAAAATATATAAAGGGCTTTACAATGATATGATAAGAGATTTTGTTAACTTTATTGAATGGAGTTATTTAATACTACATTTAAATTAAAACTCAATTCAAAAAAATACTAAAAATCAACAATTATTGGTTCTGGATTACTTAGAATAATAAATCTTACAGTTCTGTTAATGAAAAATAATAATTCTTAAAGTTAGAAATAAAAAATAACAAATGCGGGTTTTATAGCTCGATCTCTTTCATTAATAGTCATTCATTTCTTTTGCAAACTATAGTTACTTCTTAAGTTCTATATTTATTAAAAACCAAATTAAATAATGTATCTTCATTAAAACTATATACTATTCCCTCTGTTTTTTTTATTGTAAATAGTATTAAGAAATTTTTTTGTTTCAAAATATAGGTAACTTTCTTACATCTAGGTAACTTTTGCATGTACTAGATATAATATGACTAATCAAATAATGTCTATTTTTATAATTAGTATATTTTATTAATTAAATACGTTCTACAAAATAAAAAAACTTTATTAATATTAATACTTTTATTTAAAACTATTGTGCAAATGGAAGAAGTAATATTGTATGTGAGCCTTTAGAAAAATCTCAGTGATAAAAACAAAATTTAGTTTATCGTATTTTGTTAACTTTTACTAAAACCTTAAAATCCCTGAAAATAAGAAAAAAATAACAAAACATGCCACTTTGATTTCAATTCAAATTAGCAGTTTTTTCTTATATCTTCCGATAAAACATGAACACTATCATCATACAACTTTTAGTAAATAAGTATTTTTTTTCTATTTAATTCGATTAGTTTGAAACTTATGAATTTGTGTGGTCCTAAACAAGTTGCCCTTTAAGAAAAATGATCTTTGGAAAAATTTATATATATTAAACTATTCACATAATACGATTGTATTCTTTAAATACATTATTGATTTTCAATAGTCCTACTTCTCACAATTTTGGTAAAATGTTAGTGTAAAAGAGACATAAAAAATAATTGAAAATGTCAAATGTTCTTTAGAATTTTTTTTTTTTCACTTATTTATAACGTGTTTACCCATCCATAGGGTGGGTTTTACTTAGTTTAAATATAAAGAGGTCCGTTACGAGTACCGACTGATGCCTTCATTAGCAAATTCAGAATTTTTGTTTTGGTTTTTGGACAACGCAAATTCAAAATAAAATAGGAAAAGAAAAACTATTAAAGACAAAAGTCTCCATCTAGCATCTAAGAGTATGTTTAATAAGAGTTTTTTAGGATAATATTTTAAAATATTAAAAAAATTAAAAAATAATTTTTTATATTCTACTAAGAACTACAATATAAAAAGTCTCCATTAAACATGTTCTAATGTTTCACACCGCCAAAAAGATACCAATGTCCGATACTTCCTGGACGTGTTCACACTCTTTTCTCATAGCTTCTGGATACAATCATTTGAGATCATATATAAAAAACATTATTCGTTTCGTCTATAAGATATGTGTGTGAACGCCCACTCCACAAGTGTATGACAACAACGTTTACAAAATGTTGTTGACAAAAATGATAAAAAGGGTGGTGGCCTGGTGGGGAGAAGAGATGTCCATATCTAAAGCTTATCATTTTTCTTCTCAAACCAAACATTAACATCTGATGTGTGAGAATCATACGCGTATCTTTCTAGGTCTATTCCTCTCTTCTCAACATCGATTATCAAATGGGATATTTACAAACAAATATGTATCACAAACTGGTTAAATTTATAAATATTATTATTGTATAAAATATGGAAGACCTTTGAAAAACAGTTAGTTCACATTGTCAAGTAGAACATATTGTTTGATTATTGCATTTACCTTTTTATAGTAAGTCTATACGGTTAAGTAGCACTGCATAATAGTTATGTATTGAATATATATATACATTTCTACTATTTTTAATAATATTCATATATATATATTCACTAGTTTTTTAAAAATAATCATTATACAAAAATTATTGTTGTGACATGTAGTTTTTTCGAAATTAATTTCTAACTGAAATGGTTTTAGATTCAGTCATCTTGGCAACGCAGAGCTTAGTACATGAATGAATGTTTGATTTTCATCGCTAATAGTTTGTCAAACACTCATAGCAAATTGATAAGTCTGCAGTCAGGCATGCTAGAAACAGTGACAAACAGTAGCAAAACGTTGGTCAATAAAATGCTTTAGAATAGAAGCACGCAGCACGCAAATTCAGAAGAAAATGCTTGCTTGGCTCGAATCATGATCAAATACATTTGCTTCCAAATTCTAATTTAATTAGAAAACAGTACTCACATAGTTTTGCTTCCAAACTTTCATCACTAAAATAAAGAGAAAAAGCCATTAAAATCTTGAATTTTTATATTAAAACCAAAAATACTTTTAACTCATGTTCGAGCAAAAAAACCTCAGTTTTTGTAATATTAATTATTTTAACTCTTATATTTTGTTGATTCGGTCATTTAAAAAATCTGAATAGTCAAATGTCAAACTCGATTAAAAACAGATGTCAATTAACAATAGTTATTTTAAAAACTGATTAAATAATAGTCAAACAACATCATTTTTTATTTTGTAAACATTTAAATCATCTTTTCACAAAATCAGAATCTTAAATCGACTTCATTTTCCTCATTTACGAGGGAGAAAGAAAAAATCAATTTATAACTTTATTTTTACGAAAAGAATGCTTAAAATGTCTAAAAAAGAAAAATAACGTCGTTTGACTATTTTTTTAAAAAAAAACAGCATCAATTAGAGAGTTAAAAGACATCTCTTTTTATAATTTTACAGTTCATTATTCGAATTTCTTAAATGTTCAAGTCAGCAAAAATATAAAAATGACAAATATTTAAAAATTAAAGATTCTTTTAACTCAAACATGAGTTAGAAATTTTTTGGCTTTCATCTGAAAGTTGGAGTTTAATTGATGCTTTTATTTTAAAATAAAGCCTATAAACAACAAGAGAATGCAACAAGAATAAAAATGAGCTATAATCAATAAAGAAATAAAATAATATTGGAAAAAGAAAGAAAGAAAAAGGTATTCAAGTAAAGTCAACTAGCGTGTTCACACCTGTCGAGATTTTATATTTATGTACTAGAAGAAAGAAAACTTCTCCTCCAATCCAAAGTAAAGACCTTTTGTCCGAAAAGCAAACGTGAAAGAACACGACTTTCCATGAAAACCGCCTCCGCCGCCATTTTCCGGAAACGAATCGACGAGGAGGAGGAAGAAGAAGAAGTCTGTAATGTCTTCGACAGCGAGGTAGATAGCAAAACTCTAAACGACACCAAGGGCTTCTTCACTTCCTTGCTCTCCATGGAGGAGGAGAAGCACGACCAAGAAGCTCGGAAAAGACCAAGAACCACCCCCGAGGAAACCACAGACACCAATCCAAAGAAGTCACGTGCCTCCTCACGTGCCCTCGCTTCTTCAGAGAGCAGTGACGTCACCGGATCGGGTCAGCAGAGACGTTTATGGGTCAAGGACCGAAGCAGAGCGTGGTGGGAAGAGTGTAACCGTTCCGACTACCCAGAAGAGTCTTTCAAAACCGCGTTTCGTATGTCCAAATCCACGTTCGAGCTAATCTGCGAGGAGCTGAACTCGTCCGTCGCGAAAGAAGACACCGCGTTGCGAAACGCGATTCCCGTGCGGCAGAGAGTCGCGGTCTGCGTTTGGAGGTTAGCCACTGGGGAGCCGTTACGTGTCGTCTCCAAGAAGTTCGGTTTAGGGATCTCCACGTGTCACAAACTCGTCCTCGAGGTATGTAAAGCGATTAAAGATGTTTTGATGCCGAAGTATCTCCAGTGGCCTGATGATGAGTCTTTGAGAGACGTTAGAGAAACTTACGAAGCGGTTTCTTGTATTCCGAATATTGTTGGGTCTATGTATACTACTCATGTTCCGATTATAGCTCCCAAGATAAGTGTAGCTGCTTATTTTAATAAGAGACACACCGAGAGGAACCAGAAGACTTCTTACTCGATCACTATCCAAGCAGTTGTGAACCCGCAAGGTGTTTTTACTGACTTGTGTATAGGATGGCCCGGGTCGATGTCTGATGATCAGGTGCTGGAGAAGTCTTTGTTGTATCAAAGAGCTAATAACGGAGGTCTTTTGAAAGGGTTGTGGGTCGCGGGTGGGGTTGGTCACCCGTTGTTAGACTGGGTTTTGGTTCCGTACACGCAGCAGAACTTGACGTGGACGCAGCACGCGTTTAATGAGAAGATGAGTGAAGTGCAGAGAGTGGCTAAAGAAGCGTTTGGGAGGTTGAAAGGACGTTGGGCGTGTCTGCAGAAGAGGACTGAGGTGAAGCTGCAAGATTTGCCTACGGTTTTGGGTGCGTGTTGTGTGCTTCATAATATATGTGAAATGAGAGGGGAGAAGATGGAGGCGGAGATGATGGTTGAAGTGGTTGATGATGAGGTTTTGCCTGAAAACGTATTGAGATCGGTTGATGCGATGAAGGCTAGAGATAATATCTCACATAATCTGTTGCATCATGGACTAGCCGGTACTTCTTTCTTATGAATATGTGCTAAACTCAATTTGATTCTTTGGTTTATGGATATTGTTTTGTACCTTTTAGATCACAGATGTATGAAGCAGTATAAGAAACTTAACATTATTTATACATAGCAGTATAAGCAAGAATGTTTAATAGGTAAATGAGATTTGGTTCTTACAGTGTGTGGATTGTGGGGTGTGAGATGAGCCAACAAGGCTGTTTTTTTGGCTACTCAAGGGAGATGGCATGCATTTCATATTGTTGCTGGTCTTGTGTATACGTCACTTGTTTGACTTGTGGCTAGTGGCTCACCAGTCACCAGTAACAGCCACTCTTTTCTCGGACCCATTGATTAGATGGAAACCGACCAGCGAGATAAGAGTTTAGTTAGTTCGTCTCGTCCTAATGCTATGTTCTGTTTGGTTTGTTTTTATTGTCGGCTGTTTGGTTTTAGTATGGTTCATTAAAGATTAACATTTTATTTGTATTTTTGACCAAATAATCCAAACCCAATCCTGAATCAGCTATCATACAAAAAGATGAATTAGATAGATGTAGATAACAATAATAAATAAATTAAAAATAACAATTTTGTACCAATTTATAGAGAAGAAATGTGACAATTTATCGGATAAGATTATCATTTTTTAGGGCGTAAATATCATCAAACGCTATATGCAATACTATATTTACTATGATAAGACCCGCGCCTTGCGCGGGATAAAGCTATTATTTCTATTATGTTTTGAAAAATGAAACAATAGTTCGGTTTCATTCGGATTAGAGGTGTTCAATCCGGATATCGGGTTTCGGTTCGGCTCGATTTTTTGGTATTTCGATCATTAAAATATAACTACTACTCTAAATCTATATGTACTTCAGTTTGATTTGGGTTATATACCCTCGGTTTTCAGTTTATTCAATTTTATACCAAAAAACATAATTATTTAGTTTGAGATCATATTATATATTATACAAATATATAATATGATCATATTTAGAGTCATATTGTCACAGAGTCATTTATTAAAAAAATATTATATATTTAAATAAAAGAATAAAAAACAAAAAAGGCTTCTATCATCTAATAAAATGATCAAATCTAGAATTAATATCAAAATACTAAATTTTGAAAATAAAAATAAAACAGAAGCATGAAGAAAATTTTTTATATTCTTCCATATTTAGTGTTCATCAAACCAATATGTCTTCGATTGAACACAACTCTGTTTGTTTAAAGATAAAAAAAAGTTGTAAAGAATTTCAACTAATGGTTGTCCATCAAATTTATAATCTTTACTTCAATTTAGTTACTGTTAAAAAAACAAAAGATCAAAGTAAGATGTCTCAATTGTAATAAATTGTTAGCTATTTACAAATTATAATTATAGTTCAACTCATGTAACAAATAGATATTCATGCGTCGTTATAAATATATACATATTTACATGTTTCAGTTTAATCGGTTATAAATCAAACCATATTCAAATCCTATGGTTTTTATAAAATCACATCCATTCGGTTTGGATGGTATATACCAAAATAACCATATTATCAATTGTTAATATCTTTTAAAAATATAAAATTAAAAAAAGAACTAAGATATTAAAATCATTGATAACAAAAATTTTCAATGTGAAAAATTGATTAAGTTTATAATTTATAAATTTTCTTGAAAATTTATTGAAAACTTTGAAATTAAAATATTTATCTAATCTTATATGGTATATAGTTTAATCTGTATATATATTTGTTTTATTATTGAATGATACTTTTTACTTATATAGTTTTAAAATCATGTATATCTTTTTATAATAAAAATCTTAAACTATTGATCATTAATTTTTAACATAATAATTTTAATAGTTTAGTTATTTATTCTCATTTTTTAAAATTCAAAATATAACCTATACGAAAAAATCTAAAATTTAATTTTATAGCTAATTTGATTGTTTAATTTATTTTAATAATGTAAAATTAAAGAAAAATGAAGGAGGATATATAAACTGTTATCAAATATTTATTATTAGAATCATTAAGTGTCATATATATATATTAGTCATTTATGGTAATTCCGTACGTTTTATTTATGGAAAGAAAATAAAATAGTAATTATATCTAGGGGATCAATCATTAAGTGTCATATATATTAGTCATTTATGCTAATTCCGTATATTTTATTTATGGAAAGAAAATAATGTAAACTCGGTTTGATGCTTGGGATATATATTAATGTAAACTCGGTTACATGCGTTACATGCGTCTGTAATTATTGTTTCCCTAGCAAATTTCAATTGAACCTAAAGCTGCCACGTCAGTTTAATTGGTATGCTAATTGATTGACAACTAAGCAAGGTTACTTTTTAATTATTACAAACTTGACGTTACATCTTTTCAAATGTTTCTCAATTAATATATAGGGGATTATGAAAATAAATATAGAACAATAGCATATCTCAAAAATGCATTTAAAAGAATTTTTCGTCTCTATCTCATAAATATGTAATGGAGTATATAGTAACATTTAGTTTCTCATGGTTATCTAATGAATTGCTAAATTTTTTATAGTTTTCAACCCTAATTTCCCTTATCCAAAACCCATATTGAAGAATAAGAAAAAAAGTATTTGCATCGTAGAAATTTTTAAAAACCCCCCACAAACGTGAGGAAGAAATAGAGAACCACCTTAAAAAGAGTAAAGTTTAAAAACAACGGTTGATAATAAATCATTGACTCCCGGTATTTTCTAAGGGAAAAAGTTAGTTAAAGTCTTCGAGCATCACCACCACCCACAGGAAGAAGAGAGGAGAGAAAGTTCAACCAAAAGAGAAAACTTACCTCTTTCTCTTCTCCTTCTTTCCTCTCCTCTCTTCTTGTTTCCAGACAAGAACTACGTCTGAAATATTTTTTTTCATTACATATATATAACTAATCTTGTTGGGATTCTCAGAGAGTTATCTCTGTAGATCGATTCATAAATTATGGTTCGGTTCCCATCAGAAGATGGGCATGCACCAGTGAACTCGACGGTAGTCGCCGTTGACAAAGACAAGAACAGTCACTACGCTGTTCGTTGGGCCGTCGATCATCTCTTTAATCTGATCAACAATTCCAACATGATTCTTGTCCATGTTCGTGTCAAAAACTCAAACCGTACGTATCCTTATCCTAAAAGTTGTTTTAGTGTATCTTCTGAAATGGATAACTCAAGAAAATGATGTTGTTACAGATGGAGGAAACGTTGATAACGATGAAATAAATAAACTTTTTATACCATACAGAGGGTATTGTGCGCGAAAAGGGGTACGTATCCATTTTTAATATCTCATGCATATAACGTATGCATTAAAAGCATTAGTTAGTTGATTGTCTTTTTTGTGTGTTGCATATGTGTTTAGATTTCAATGAGGGAGGTTATTCTTGATGATACCGACATAGCGAAAGCAATAATAGATTACGCTAACAATAACCTAGTGAACAACATTGTGTTGGGATCAATATCTTCAAAGAACCCATTCGCAAGATCTCTCAAGTTCACTAAATCCCATGACGTTGCAGCTTCCGTTCTCAAATCAACCCCTGAGTTTTGTTCCGTTTATGTCATCTCTAAAGGCAAAGTCCAGTCCTCACGTGCAGCTCAAAGAACTATCACCAATACCCTTGTCCCACCTCGTGCACCTACGTTTCCTCTCCCTAACCTACCTGACCCTGACCAAGACCAAAGGTATTATTATTAATGATTTCTTCTCTTTATATATATTTAAAATCAACAAGGCTTTAAGAAGTGGTTCTTGAGGCTGTTGTAGGGGCCAGCGTAATGGAAGAAACACAACACAAGAGAGGTATCATCCTCATGAGAATGGATTTAATGCTGTGAAAGAAAGGCACAAAAGTGCTGCCAATGGTTCCTTGGACTTTAATTATGATTTTAACCAACCAATGGGTCAAAGTCAAAGGAACTTTGATGAACCAGATTTTGGGCCTAGGATGATGGGTTCCATTGACCTATCTGCTCATAATTTTGATATCATTGGTGCTTCTGGTTCTTCTGATGAATCAGTTTCACAATCAAATGTGAGTCAAGAGTATAGCAATTAATTTTTCATTATAATAACCTTTCAGGGAAATAAGATTAGTATGCACTAATTAACTAGCTGGATGCTAATTTGCAGAGAGATGTTGAAGCTGAGATGAGAAGGTTAAAGCTTGAACTCAAACAAACCATGGACATGTACAGTTCAGCCTGTAAAGAAGCACTAGATGCAAAACAGAAGGTAAGAAATATGTATGTGCAGCAAAGCTACAGTACCGGTCCAACATTTTCATTTTTTTTAAAGTCATGATGTCCTAAGCGGTTGGTTCCTTTGCTAATGATCCGGACCGGCTTTGCAAAGCTAGCTAGTTGATGAGGAGCTTCCTTGCTCCATCTAATACTTACTGACTCTCATGTTTCCATAGGCAAATGAGCTTAGCAAGTGGAAACTGGAAGAAGCTCTAAGATTTGAGGAAGCTAGGAGTGCTGAAGAGGCAGCCCGGGCTGTTGCAGAGACAGAGAAGGCCAAGTGCAAAGCTGCAATGGAAGCAGCTGAGAAATCTCAGAGGATGGCAGAGTTGGAAGGACAAAGAAGGAAGCAAGCAGAGATGAAAGCAAGAAGGGAATCACAGGAGAAAGACCGAGCACTCAATGCATTGGTGCAGAACGATGTCAGGTACAGAAGATACTCTATAGAAGAGATTGAAGAGGCTACTGATAGATTTGAAAGCAACAGACTAATAGGAGAAGGTGGATATGGACCAGTGTTTAAAGGCACACTTGATCACACTCCTGTTGCTATTAAAGTCTTGAGACATGATGCTGTCCAAGGAAAGAAACAGTTTAACCAAGAAGTTGAAGTTCTAAGCTGCATCAGACATCCTCACATGGTTCTTCTCCTTGGCGCCTGTCCTGATTACGGGTGCTTGGTGTATGAGTTCATGGAGAATGGGAGCTTAGAGGATAGACTCTTCCGTAGAGGTAACTCGCCGCCTCTTTCTTGGAGGAAAAGATTCCAAATAGCAGCGGAGATCGCTACTGCACTCTCCTTCCTTCACCAAACAAAGCCAGAGCCACTTGTTCACCGTGACTTAAAACCTGCCAACATACTCTTAGATAGAAACTACGTGAGCAAGATCAGTGACGTTGGATTAGCTCGGTTAGTCCCAGCGTCAGTGGCTAATGACGTCACGCAGTACCACATGACATCTGCAGCAGGAACGTTCTGTTACATAGACCCAGAGTACCAGCAGACGGGGAAGTTAACGACGAAATCAGATGTGTATTCGTTAGGGATAATGCTGCTTCAGATTATAACTGCCAAGACTCCAATGGGTTTGGCTCATCTTGTGTCGAGGGCGATTAGTAAAGGGACTTTTAAGGATGTACTTGACCCGGTGGTGACTGATTGGCCTGTGGAAGAAGCTATAACTTTTGCTAAGCTGTGTCTGAAATGTGCAGAGCTAAGGAAGAAAGATAGACCAGATCTTGGGAAGGACATAGTTCCAGAGCTTGTTCGGTTAAGAAACTTTGGTATGGACAATGAGTCATTATGAACCCATACAAAAACCCTAAACAAATTCTTGTTTTTTTTGTCTGTGCAAAGCTTCATTAATTTAAAAAAAAGTTTGGATTACATGGCAAAGGGAGTTAACCTAATTCTGTCATTACTACAAGTCTACAATACAACTAAAAACATAAAAACTTAAAACATGCATGGTCATCTTTTTTTTTTTCATTACCATGTAAGATCTAGAGGAACAAGGGAACAAACTCATTTATACCATCACTAGACCACCAATATTTGGTAACATGATAATCCTAAAACATCAAGTTCAAAGCAAAGTTTGAACGCATTAACAACTTAAAAATAAAATTGATACAAAGCCAGCTTTGAAAGCAAAGTATATAAGAACAATATGGCAGAACCAAAAACAAAGGATTGGTTCTCATTAGATTGTTTTTTTTTTTTTTGAGTATACATTGGGAAAGGAATATCCTTAATAAAATCATATCGACCAATCATATTGACAATTCCTTTTATACACTTTATTTTAGTATATTGACATGGTGATTTATAAATGTTCGACCAACCAATGAACACATTCCACTCCAAATACCAACTTTTAGATCATCAAAATGGGTCTCATTACCGTCATCATGGTCATGCTAATGGGCATGCTAGTGGCATCATCACCGTCTGATCAAACAGATGTCCTTACTCCTCTTTGCATCAGTGAATGCTCCACGTGTCCAACCATTTGCTCTCCTCCTCCCTCCAAACCGTCTTCTTCCACTTCACCACCTCCATCTCCTTCATTGCCGTCATCCTCTCCGCTACCGCAACCGCCTCCCTCCACGTCGCCACCTCCATCTCCCTCATTGCCGTCATCCTCTACGCCACCTCCTCGCAAACGCTCTCCACCACCACCGTTAATCACAGTCATCCAGCCGCCACCACCAAGATTTTACTATTTTCAGTCCACACCGCCACCTACACCGCTTTCTTCCGATGTAAAAGGCTCGCCACCATCACCTCCGTCGCCAAAGGGACAACATCAGGGGCAGCAGGATCCTAACCCATATCCTTATTTCTATTTCTACACGGCATCAAATGCCACTTCTCTCCTTTCTTCTTCTTTCTTGACTTCTCTTTTCTATTTTCTCTACCTTTTTTGCTTAACTATTCGTTAGTGTTAACCCCTATTGTTACGTATACCAATATACTACTATTCTTTTTACATTTTTTTTGGTGTAATATGTGATTGTTTTTTTTTCATCAAATGCGATATCGTTTTCTTAAAAGGCTTTCTATTTAAATTTAGATTCAAAAGGTACATAGGAATTGATCCATGGATATTGCATAGATGATAGAGCAAGATTCAAAGAAGAAATAAGCAAGCATTCAAAACATGATTCGAAAGGGAGACAAATTCGTAAATAGTGAGAGCAAACAAGACTACTAGTGCACCATGTCTAGACCTAGAAGATAATTTTTGGCATTAAAGAGTAGATGATGGAACTTGTCTTGTTTATCATTTTATGTAGATTACATTGTGAGACCATGATTATCCGGGTGGCTTATGAGAAGGATCCTTAACAAAAACAAATATAATAGTCATGTGCGTCTCACAAATTTTGAAGCACCTGTGCCTCTGCGACTTGTTTAGATGTCGTGGTTTATATTGTTCACGGATTTTATTGATATGTGATGGTGCGATTGATTCGTTTCTAAATTTCTTTTTTGAAAAAACAAAAAACAAATAAGAACCCCCTTAATATGGATGTGCTTTAATGGTGCTTTGACAAACTCCACTCTATAAAAATCTTTATATATACTATTGTTTACGAATTAATTTCTTGTTATGAATTCTCACATCAAAGAGCATAGTCGAGTATAAACCGTTAGAAAATAAAAGTCACACAACAATCAATAAAGATTCGTTTTTTTTTTAAACATCATAGATATTCGGTTGAAGGATACTAAATAAAACACACACATATATAATTAAAATATTTGTATCTGATTAAATTATCAGTAAATAATGTTAAAATAAAAAGTGTCACCTATTAAATTTTAGTATTTTACCATAATTAAAAATAAAAGTTAAACAATAGTACAGTATTCTTTTTGTTTCTTTTGATTAACGCGGTGAAAATAAAATAGAAAGAGCGATTATGTAAGAAAATAACATTTTCACGGCGTTAATTTTAAAAATAAAAGTTAAATAACACTTCAGATCCAAACGTGAAATCTCCCCTGTGTTGTTCCTGGATCTGTATCACCTTCTTCTACCAGATTTCAATAGCATCATCACCCATACAGGAGGAAGATCCGAAATGGCAACGGAGATCGGAGAGATGTCTCCGCCGGAGACGACGGCGAGTCTTCTCTCTCTCGCTTCCGCCTCTCAGCAACCGTACGTATCCGAGCTCCTCTCCTTCACTCTCGATCGTCTCCACAAGGTCTCTTCTCTTCTCTTTTTCATCTCTCTCTGCGCTTATGGATCTCTGAGTCTCATCGGTTAACTGAATTTTGAAGGAGCCGGAGCTGCTTCGAGTGGACGCGGAGCGGATTCAGAGGCAAATGCAAGAGGTTGCGGTTGGGAACTACCGCGCGTTTATCACCGCTGCTGATGCTTTGCTTGAGATCCGTCAGGAAGTTTCCTCCATTGATAAGCATCTCGAGTCTCTGGTATGCTATATAACTCTTCCCACCGCTTCGAATTGAGTTCTACTGTTTGGATTTGATTACGATTAGTGACTGTGTTAGTGTCATTGCTAGGATCTGAAATTAGTTACTGGAAATTGATTGTTTGGTTAATCTTGGATTGAGTAGTAGGGATCTTTGTTTCAGGTCTTATAGCTTTGTAGAAGATGTGGAGATTGAACTTGTTGTGCTTTAGTCTAGTAGGTTTGGGAATAGGTGAATGAATCACTGGTTTAGTAATGTAGCTTGAGCTTCTTCCATGTTTATAGAAAGCAGGATAGGTTCTAGCACATATATGTAAATATCATCCTATGACTTTTAGCAGTTGTATCCTTGGAAAGAATAATAGTTAATCCCCTGGAAAGTTTTTGATGCTAGAGTTTTGTGCTTTTGACTTCATTGCAGATTGGAGAAGTCCCGAAACTAACGTCTGGTTGCACAGAATTTATCGATTCTGCGGAGAATATTCTGGAGAAGAGGAAGATGAACCAGGCTTTGCTGGCTAATCACAGCACTCTTCTTGACTTGCTTGAGATTCCTCAGCTTATGGACACGTAAGCTACTAGAGAAAGCTTTAAATCTGATTTCTTGTCAATCTCTTCTCATGCCTTTCGTGAGAGAACTGAATTATAAGCAACTTCTAAATGCTCTGAATAATGAGTTGTATCTTTATCAGATGCGTGAGGAACGGGAATTTTGACGAAGCTCTTGACCTTGAAGCATTTGTGTCGAAACTTGCAACTATGCATCCCAAGTGAGTTTTTTTTTTATTTGTTATGTTTCTCATCAAAATTTGTCCCCTCTGGCTACTTACAGCCGGAAACGTTAAGATTTAGCTTTTAAGAATTAAGCTTCTCTTTTTGTCAAGATTGCCTGTTATCCAAGCACTTGCAGCGGAGGTTAGACAAACAACGCAGTCACTTCTCTCACAGCTTCTCCAGAAATTGCGCTCCAATATACAGGTTTTGTGTGAATAAAAGTTTGTTTGTATTCGGTGAAGTATGGTAAGGGTTAGCAATCTAGGAGGCTCAATCTTTAATTGCTGCTCTTCATTTCAGTTGCCAGAATGTCTCCGGATTATTGGATACTTAAGGCGGATAGGAGTCTTTGGCGAGTATGAAATGCGATTACAGGTGAACTATTTTCTCATATAACCATTGGAACATTGCCTCTCTCATTGTATTGTATTCCTTTGTGTATGAAGCTCTTCACTCTGTAAGCTATGCCTTCACTTCAGGATGATTTTTTTTTCTTGTCTGTGCAGTTCTTAAGATGCCGTGAGGCATGGCTCACTGGAATTCTTGAGGATCTAGACCAGAAGAATGCTTATGAGTATTTAAAAGGCATGATAAACTGCCATAGAATGCACCTATTTGATGTAGTTAATCAGTATCGAGCTATCTTTGCTGATGATACATCGGGTAGTGAAGAAAATTATGATGGTGGACTTTTGTTTAGTTGGGCCATGCATCAGATAACATCACACTTGAAGACTCTGAAAATTATGCTCCCAAAGATTACTGAAGGAGGATCTCTATCAAATATCTTGGATCAGTGCATGGTTGAGCTCTTTTTAAAAACAATTCATATATTCGTTATTGAATACTCTTTGCAACTCTCATTGACGTTTACCTTCTTCTCATGACAAACACAGTACTGTGCTATGGGGCTTGGTTGGGTTGGGCTAGACTTCCGTGGCTTGCTTCCTCCTCTTTTTGAAGAGTAACGATTCTTCTTATTGTTTTTTGTCATAATCTCTTCTTGTTTCTTTACAAGCTCATCAGTATGAACTTGCATATTTTCGACAGGGCTGTTCTAAACTTATTTTCCAAGAACATGAGCACAGCAGTAGAGAATTTCCAGGTGGGTAAACACAAAACTTCAACTATTTCTCTAGCACATGTTATACTCTCTTGAATCTCAGAATTAAAATTCTTCATGATGTTTTATTTCCAGTTAGTTTTGGATTCACATCGTTGGGTTCCATTACCATCTGTTGGCTTCCCATCAAGTGGTATTAATGACGATAGCAAAGATGACGTCACACCTCCATCATACTTGATGGAACACCCGCCTCTTGCAGTTTTCATAAACGGTGAGACAATATCAATTTCGAATAACTATGGATGATGTAACTGATGATTGTGTTGGGATTATTACAAATGCTGCAAATGTTAATATAGTTCTTTTCTCAGTGTGATTGATGTTTAATAATTCCGGCTATGTTCGCACAGGTGTATCTGCTGCTTTGAACGAACTACGCCCTTGTGCCCCGCTAAGTCTAAAGAATGTGATTGCTCATGAATTGATCAAAGGACTTCAGGCTGTCTCTGACTCCTTACTAAGATACAACACAACTCGGATGCTTCGACTCAATGAATCCAATCTCTTCCTCTCACTTTGCCGAGCTTTTGTCGAGGTACAATTTTACATTTTCATCTCAGTCTTATATCAAACTAGTAACGATTCAGTAGATTGAAAACCTCTCTGTCCAACTCACATTGCCCAATGTTCTTTCTATGACTCGTTGTTGTGACAGGTGGTGTTTCCACATTGCGCAACATGCTTTGGCAGGTGTTATCCAGGTGGTGCTAGTATAGTTATGGATGCAAAGAGTGCATACGACGGTCTAAGTCGCATCTTAGCCGCTTCGGCCCCTCCGGAATCATCCAACAAACTAGCAAAGACCATCAGCATTGACGCAACGAGCGCATCAGAGAACGGTGTAACGTCCCAAGTTGAAGAAAAACAAGTGGAGACTCCGAACGAGAAAGAAGAGAACAGTCCCACTCCCTTGCAGGGTCCTGAGACAACACCACACGTGTCTTGAGAATTTTCTTAATTTTTCTTATAAAGGAATTTTAAAAAACATAGAGTGAAAATCAATATATCAGTAGATTATCAATATAGTATAAATTCGATTGCACTATGTTTTGAGACTTGGATCCAAATCGTCTGACTTTTTTCCTTTCTTATTTTCTATGTTTTCTGATGTAAAATCGAATTCTTCAGATGTCACTTATATATATTTTTTGGAAGAGCCTACTCTTTTTTTTGCTTATATATGTATATCTGATAAATTACAACACTTTAGTGGCTTAATATGGAATTCAATTATTCAAACATTACAAAGTTAGTTTGTTGTCTGATTTATTTTCCATGTAGTTTTCCGAATTAACAATCACTCAAAAAAGAATATGTTTGACTACAACCTAAACATAATTTTATCAATCTATACAATTTTTAACTAGCTGATTATCTTTTTTATGAAGCTCTTTGATTTAGTTTATTTTGCATAAATTTAATCACAAGTAATTCATACTTGTTTTTTGTTTTTGTTTTTGATAAAGTTCATACTTGTATTTTGTTTTAACAATATACCATGCAATTATAATTACTTTTACATTTCTGTTTCCATAAAACATGGAAAATATATAGTTTGTGTGTATTTGGGATCTGTCTCTCATATTCTATATGGAAAATTTGATTGTTTTAAAATTATATATGTGAAGCAATGAAGAAAACATATAGTAGTGGACATCAACCAAATAGAGATGTACGAAATACGAACATGTATATT